ACTAGAAATTTGATTTAACTATTAAATTGTAAAAAGACTTGTCAAGTTAATTGTAAGAAAATGTTTGGCATGGGATCAGAATGATCTTTTTCATCACCTGCTAGAATATAGAATGATACCTAACTTCCCATTTCTATACAAGATCATTTTTCCTAATTGTTCTAATTATTTCAGACTACATGCAAGTTCATCTCTAACCAAGCTAATTTTATCAATTCATCAAATAATTGAATGTAACTTTGTAGCAATGACTCCAAGCGCGTCAGTGATACTACTGTAAGAAACCACATTGTCATAGAGATGTAATCCAAGCAACTTTCATCTTATTTAGAAAGCACACAAGGAATTGCACAAACTACAAGCAACACAGATTTATATGTTCACTCGAAACAAAAACCACTAACAGCCAATTTCAACTAAATGCTTAAAAGATGCGCCCAAACAGCCATTTACAATGCCCATGTTACCCAAGATGACCATTATACAATTACTGTAAATGCCTCTAAACATTTCAAAGAATTAATCATGTGATAAGTCAAAACTGCTTCCCCGAATTACACTTTACAAAACTCTCAACTTTTAATACTGCAAAAAGTGTTAATCTTTCATTATTTTAAATGACAAGTACAAATGTCAATGAAATGGGGACATGGAATCACGTCAAAAATGGCTAAGGAAACATTGTGCTGAATGCAACATACTGCCCTCCCTCAGCTGATGAATCAAATCTCCTCCACGTACACAAATACTTCAAAAAAGCACTGAGCATAGCAAGGACACAATTTATTTTGCATTGGGGTTCTTCAATTCACATTACCAAGTGTTTGAAGAGAATAAAGGGTGTTGGGTCATTCTTAAGTGGGAAATCAGGATGGCAAAAAGGAGATATGAGATAGCCTTGGCAGATAAGGTTAAGGAAAATTTAAAGAGATTCTACAAGTGCATTAAAAGCAAAAGAGCAACTAGGGAGAGAATAGGGCCCCTTAAAGATCAACAAAGTTGTCTATGTATTAAACCTCAGGAGCTGGGAGAGATACTAAATGGATATTTTGTGCCAGTTTTTATTGTAGAGGCTGGAGAACTCAGGGAAATAAATATTGATGTTTTGAAAACAGTTCACATTACAGAAAAGGAAATGCTGGCAGTCTTAGAAAACATAAAAGGTAGATAAATCTCTTGGACCTGATCAAGTGTATCCCAAGACCTTGTGAGAAGTTAGGGAGAAATTGCAGAGCCTCTAGCAGAGACATTTGTATCATCTGAGAGGTGCCGGATGACTGCAGGGTGGCTAATGTTGTGCCTTTATTTAAGAAAGGCTGTAATGAGAAACCTAAGGACTATAAACCTGTGAGTCTGACGTTGGCGGTTGGTAAATTGCTGGAGGCGATTCTGAAGGACAGGATTTACATGCATTTGAAGAGGCAAGGACTGATTAAGAATACTCAAAGCACGGCTATCTGAGAGGGAGGCTGTGAGGGAAATAGTGTCTCACAAACTTAATTGAGTTTTTTCAGGATGTAACCAAAAATATAGGTGACGGCAGAGCTGTAGATGTCGTTTACGTGGACTTTAGTAAAGCCGTTGACAAGGTTCCGCATGATAGAAGAACTAACAAATTAGATTATATGGGATTAAGGATGAACTTGCCAAATGAATACAAGATTGGCTTGACATCAGAACAGACAGCGTTGTGGTGAAGGGCTGGGGGGTGCAATACAGTGTGGAGCTGGAGGAACACTGCAGGTCACTAGTATCAAAGGGGCAGGAAAGTTGACTTCATCAGGACTGGGGAGGGGGAAGGGTGCTCGGAAATAAATGGGGGGTTGGGGGAAGGTAGGTAGGATGTTGACAGGTGGATGCAGGTAGGGGGTAGTGGAGATTGGTCAGTGGGAAGGGTGTGGTAGATAGGTGGGAAAGATGTGGACAGGTCATGTCAGGTCAAGGAGGCGGGGATGAGGGGGAGGTTGGATATGGGATGAGGCTGGGGGGTGGGGAGATTTTGAAACTGGTGAATTCTGTGTTGAGGCTATTGGGCTGTAAATTCTTAAGGCAGAATATGAAGTACCGTTCCTCCAGTTTGCATGTGGCGTCATTGTGACACTGGAGGCGGCCCAGGATGGACATGTCACCAAGGTGGAGTTAAAGTGGTTGGCAACTGGGAGGCGCTGTTGATTAGAACACACAGAGTGCAGATGCTCCGCAAATCAGTCCCAGAATCTGTGACTGGTCTCACCAATGTAGAGGAGGCCACATTGGAAGCAGCAGATACAGTAGACCAGGTTAGAGTATATACAGGTGAATCCCTGTCAGATTTGGAAAGACTGTCTGGGGCCTTGGATGGTGGTGAGAGGGGAGGTGTAGCACCTCCTGTGGTCACAGGGAAAAGTGTGAGGTGTGGTGAGGTTGGAGGAGAGTGTGGAGTGGACGAGGGAGTCACAGAGTGAGCGGTCCCTATGAAAGGCAGATAGGGGTGGGGAGGGAAATATCTCTTGGTAGTGGGGCCGGATTGCAGGTGGCGGAGGATTGTGCGCTGGATGCAGAGGTTGGTAGGGTGGCATGTGAGTGGGGTGGTACAGCAGGTTGTTTTTCGGATTGGAGGCCTGTCATCAGCAGTGTTCCACAGGGATTGGTGCTGGGTTCATTTTTGTTTATCATTTATATAAATGATTTGGATGAGAATTTAGGAGACGAAAATTAGTGGTATAGTGGACAGTGAAGGTGGTTATCTAAAATTATAAAGAGATCTTGATCAATTGGATCAAGGGCTAAGGAGTGGTAGATGGAATTAATTTGGATAAATGTGAGGTATTACATTTTGGTAAAACTAAACTTACAAAATTAATGGTAGGGCTCTGGGTAGTGTTGTAGAACAGAGAAACGTCAGGGTTTAGGTACATCATCCTTTGAAATTTGCGTCACTTCGACAGTGGCTAAGAAGGTGTTTATCATGCTTGCCTTTATTGCTCAGACTTTTGAGTCTAGGAGTTGGGATATCATCTTGAGATTGTATAGGACATTGGTGAGGCCTCTTCTGGAATACTGTGTACAGTTCTGTCGCCCTGCTACACGAAGGATGTGAAAACAATTCAAGGGTGCTGCCGGGAACGGAAGGCTCGAGTTATAAAGATAGGATGGGACCTTTTTCACCAGTGGAGAGTAGGAGGTTGAGGGGTAACCTCATAGAGGTTTATAAAGTCATGATGGGCATAGATAGAGCGAATAGCAAGGATCTTTTCCCTCGTGTGGGGGTGTTCAAAATTAGGGGGCATATTTTAACAGTGACAGGAGGAAGATTTAAAAAGGACATGAGGGGAACTTTTTTTTTAAATAGAGTGGCTCATACTTGGAACAAACTGCCAGAAGAAGTCATGGATGCAGGTACAGTTACAATATTTAGAAGACATTTGCTTAAGTACATGAATAGGAAAGATTTGGAGGGATATGGGACAAATGCAGGCAAGCACAAATAGTTTGGTTTGGGAAGGCAAACTGCGATAAAACAAAACTAAAGTTTATCAAATAATCCTGCAACTGAAACATTACAAATTTGATGCACAGCGCCAATGCATATAGCCTGTCAAGTTACTACTATCTCAGTCAAACCAAATAACTTTCTCACTATTAGATTTCATTGTGTCCTTCACTTTTGCTCATTAAAAATATAGGCAAACTGTATAACTGGTGTTTAAATCTCATCTTGGACTTATCCTCCACCATCTTTATTTCCTACTCTAGAACATTCTACACCTCTGATTCTAGCATTTTATGGGAGCTTTTCCTAATTGCATCAGGTATCTGGATCACAGAAATAAATTCCCCCAATACCACTGCATTGCCAAAGTCCTTCACAACATCTTTATGACCAAGCTTTTGGTCACCCCACTGCTCATTCTGTACAACTTCTTTGTCAGAGCGTTCTCTTTTGTTTGATTACACAACTGAAATAACTTAAGTGTTATTTCTTATATATTTTTGACGTTGACGTACAGAACGTTCTCTTGTATAACAGAAAAGGCCTTAGAAAAAAAAAATCAGGTCAGTCAACAGCTGTGTTCCAGGTATGGGCTTGAAACATTAATTGGCTATTTTCTTGATTTATTGAGTATTTCCAGTATTTTGAGTTTCTTTTTTGAGACTTCGTGAATTAGTCTTGCTCTCCAGGCTTTTAATCATTTTGAATCTCTGTCCTCCATACTTGGTTTGCAACTAGACCAAAGACTAGATGCTGTTACGCACAGAAACTTACTGAGCAGATTCGTGAAATTCCTTATTCTAGCCCTGAGAACACTACAGTCTTTAAAGAGGCTAAGCTGTGGAGACAAGATACAGAAAACCCACTTTTAGAAGGTCAGCAGACTACAGGCTTCCGATTCCATCTACTTCAAGTCTGGCTTCAACCTTTCTAGTAACCCGTTTATAAATATCTCCCCCGCTTCCCTATTTCCTCTGGTTTTATGAGGGTTTGTGTCCATCTGGCCGCTACTGCACTCAGGTTCCCTCCGCCGCACTCAATCCCCATATCTCTCCACCCGCCGTTTAAGGGCAGGTTCAAGCATCTTGTGGGATCCAGTGCAGTGGCTATTCATACCTGGGGTTCCGATTTCCATTCATGGAGCCCCTTCCTACACAGGCTTGGTTTTCAGCGGCCTCTTGACGGACGGTACCGGCGGGTGACCCGCTTCGATGTCGGAGGGACGGTCTGCCCGATCGGTGTAGATCTTTGCCTGGCGGGGCCGCTCCTCCCTAGCTGTAAAATACAGGCGGGGCCTCTCGCTTTTACTCAAACGGAGACGATCCCCTGAAGTGTGCAGGCTGGATTCGGACTGAGAGGTATCTACTCCTCGTGATCACTTGGGCCCCGCTCACACTCCACTTTATTTTCCGCCGCTTTCGTCTTTTTCACTCTCCCTCGACTACGGCGTCTCCCAACCGGAAAAATCGTCTTTTAACCGCCGGAAATGACGATTCGCGACCCTGGGTTAATTATTCCTACGTTTCTTGAGCAAACGTCACCACGGCGACGTTATCATCCCCCTTCCGCCATTTTGTAAACCGGTTTCTGGGGAAACGCAAGGTCTTACCTCCCCCACCACGAGGATTATTTTTAAAGGTATAATTTCTGATTCTGTTTCACCCGGCGGAACGGCAATTGATTTCCTTTCAGTTCTCTATTTTTTTGTCTAACTGATACGGCGAATAATTTACATGTATTCGACGTGGATTTCACGACCAAATTCTAGACTCAAAAACCTGTCTTTATTTTTGCAATGAATGTTCTTTCCAGTAGCGCCGATAACCTGCTATTCTCTTCGGGGCTTCTTTCAAGTTCAGATGGCTGTAATAAAGGGCCTCTGCCTTCTTCGCAGAGTTAGCAAAATGAGAACCCAGGATTACGAAGGTGCCTGGTGCAGCAGGAGCACTTGATTCGGTGAAAATGTTTCCTGAGGCTGAACAATAAAGTACGTGAGCAATTCGGTGCATCATCAAACTCGTTAGCGAGTGATTGCCGACGATAGTTGTTCAGCCAGTGTGATGAAATAGGTTTTAGATAAGGGTCGGATCTTCAGTCATATAAAATAAGAACAGATGTAGTTTTGTCCTGCCAATAATAAATGGCCACTCTTTCCCACACTTGCCTGGCATTCAAAAGCGTGTGGAGGATTAATTAAATTACAGACTTTAAAGGGGAAGGTGTATGGCAAATTCTCGGGAACAACTGGTATTCTTTTTGAAGCATCTGCATATTTCAGGATGATAAGGCGGTACGGTACTTTTGTCGTGTGCGTCCTTGCTTTAAGATCTTTATCCATGCGCAGTAGCGACATTGTATACCATTTCTATTTTTTAGCTAATGTTAAAAAAAAAGTCTGAATACACTAAACATATTTTCTCTCTGCACAACCCACATGTTGAAGATTCAGGCTTTTTTCCAGAAGCCTCTCTGAAAATGGCCACTAGAAGGTGCGATGTGGACTTTGCTTTGACTTAGCCAATTGCTCTCGGCTATACTGATCACAGGTAAACTGGGAAGTATTCAAATAGCTGGGTTGTGAAAGGGCGCACTGCAAACTAAGCGTGGAACTCTCACTTGGTACTGGTTTATTGTTTTAATTTTTGCAGCGATGCAGCCTTCTTGTTGCCAGTCTCCTTTCACCATCTCCTAAAAGTATTTATGCAGATTCTCCAGCATCTGCAGTTCCTACTATCTCTAATATTTGAGATTGACGGCCTTTTGTTAGAACAGCAAACTTTTTTTAAATTTTGTATTTTTTTTTGGCTATTCAACCCAAATTCAAGATATTTTAAATATTATCTATATTTTGGAATCCTTCCTATTCGTATACCGATGCAGATGCCTTTTAAATGTTGTAATCGTACCAGCCTCCACCAATTCTTCTGGCAGCTCATTCCATACGCACACCACCTGTGTGTGAAAAAGTGGCCTGTTAGGTCCCTTTTGTATCTTTCCCCTTTCACCTTTAAACCTATGCCCTCTAGTTTTGGACTTCCCCCAACCCCAGGGAAAGACGTTGTCTATTTACCCTATCTATACTCCTCATGTTTTTATAAACCGCTATAAGGTCACCCCTTAGTCTGCAATGTTCCAGGGAAAATAGCCGCAGTAGCTCTCCCTTTCGCTCAAACCTTCCAACCCTGGCAATGTCCTTGTAAATATTTTCTGAACCCTTTCTATTTTCACACCGCCCTTCCTATAGGAGGAAGACCATAATTGCATGCAGTACTCCAAAAGTGGCCTAACTAATGTCCTGTACAGCCACAACATGACCACCCAACTCCAATACTCCATGCATTGACCAATAAAAGCAAGCATACTAAATGCCTTCTTCACTATCCTTTCTACCTGTGACTCCACTTTCAAGGAACTATGTACCTGCTCTCCAAGGTGTCTCTGTTCAGCAACACTCCCCAGGACCTTACCATTAAGTGTATAAGTCCTGCCCTGATTTGCTTTCCAAAACTACAGTACCTCATGTTTATCTAAATTAAACTCCATCTGCCATTCCTTGGCCCATCTGATCAAGATCCCGTTGTACTCTGAGGTAACCTTCACTGTCCACTACACCTCCAATTTTAGTGTCATCTGCAAACTTACTAACCATTCCTCCTGTGTTCAGATCCAAATCATTTTATTATCAAGTGTACCAAAGTACAGTGAAAAGCTTTGTTTTCGAGCAATACAGGCAGATCATAGTAAGCAAGGATGTACAGGTCAGAGGTTGTAAAAAGATTGGAGGCAAACAGGTTCCATTCCACAGCGTGTGTGCTCGGCAAGATCAATGTTAGCAAGATCAGCATTATTTGAGGTTAGAGGTCCATTCATGAGTCTATTAACGGCAATGGCCAGAACAAGCTGTTCCTGAACCTGGTGGTGTATGTATCCAGGCTTTTTTAGTTTCTGCCTGATGGAAGAGTTTGTAGGATATCATTGCTGAGGTATGATCGGTCTTTGTTGGCAGCCTTTCCGTGCCAGCGAGCCGTGTAAATGGAGTCCATTTATATAAATGACAAAAAGTAGCGGACCCAGCATCAATCCTTGTGGCATGCTGCTGGTCACAGGCCTCCAGTCTCAAAAACAGTACTCCACCAACACCTTGTCTTCTACCTTTTGAGCCAGTTCTGTATCCAAATAGCTAGTTCTCCTGTATTCCATGTGATCTAACCTTGCTAACCAGTCTACCATGAGGAACCTTGCTGAAATTCTTATTGAAGTCGATATAAATCACATCCACCGCTCTGCCCTCATCAATTCTCTTCCTACTTCTTCAAAAAACTCAATCAAGTGGGTTGAAGATCATTTGTGAAAGTACTTTAACCAAGCTGTACATTATTTTCCACAGTGAGTTCTGCTCTGAAATGCTATTAACATAAAAAAGATTACATTGTTTACAATGATCCATGATTAAAATTTTATTTCATTTGATCTGCGTGAGATTTTTCGGGTGAATGGACTATGCAAAAATTGTTTTTGCAGATATTTGTTGGGGTTTCTTTCAAAATAAATCAGAACTAAAGCCATGATTCTACTTCCTATGCCAACTTGTAACATTGGTGTTGTCATCATTTCACCAAAAGATGATTGTTCAAAGCAATGATCACAGATTCAGAATGCCAATTCAAGAACTGTCCCCTGAATCTTTATCTTATGTCTGACCACCGGCATATCAGGGCCTAGAGTGGAATGGGTCAGTGTTTAAATCCATTCACCACTCTTTTGATAAAGTCATCTGTGATTGTCTAAAACCAATACCATTGGTGCATATAAGCTAACTGAAATGACACAAATCTTAGCTATGCTTCTGTGACCCTCAGAGCATCACTAACGGCAAGCTTCTGTTACTAAGTTCCTAAGAGGTCAGCATTAATTAGAAGTTGAACTATGTCAGTGACAAACATTGGAGAAGGCAATAAATTCCATCCAAATGAGGTAACAGGGAGCTCGAGCCACTACTCAGCTAGCAGATAAGACTCCTGTTTGTTGGATTAAATACCATCTCTTATGTCAATGGAAGCAAGATAGAGAGGTAATGTACTCTGCAATGAGTGGCTCATTGTACCCCTTACAAGTTTTATTCACATCTTTTTATTCATTCACAGGTTATGGGTGTCACTGTCTATCTCTAATTGTCCTGAGAGTAGGTCAGACTAGGTAAGATGGCAGTTTTCTTCCCTAGAGGAAATTATTGAACCAGGTGGGTTTTTCCTGGAAATTGACAATGGTTTCATGGTCATTATTAGATTGCTAATTAGTGAGATAAATATCCAGATATTTATTGAATTCAAATTCCACCTTCTGCCATAGCAGGATTCAAACCTGGGTCCCTGGCTTAATGGTCAATTGATAATACCACTAGGCCATCACCTCACCATTTACAAGACTCAACTAATTCTTCACTGATCTGAATGGATGCCATACCCACAAAGCTGAGAGCAGAAGTTTGCTTGATTGGTATCCCTTTCCCTGGATTTAACATCCACCATGGCAGCAGCAAGTTAGGCATACAGGATGAAATGTAGAAACTCAAGGTATTAACCTCTACACCAGAGTTCCCTCAGGGCTCTGATCCTGACTTGGATATATGTATCAGAGATAGTAGGAATTGTCGATGCTGGAGAA